CTGATGAAATACAATAGCTCTGTATAAGTTAACCTTTTTCGAACCTCAAAAATAGTGCAAATTCGACTTTGGAAGTACAAGTATGAACATTAAATACATGGTAAAGCATGGTTTTTCATAGCTTAGATTTTTTTTAATTTTATGATTTGACTTGGGATATAATTTGATTTTCGGGACTTCAAGTTATGTAAAGTTAATTGTAGATTTAAAATATACAGGACTTACATTACTTGTACTGTACATGTAGGTACATGTACATGTGCACTGTTCACCTTTTTAAAAAACTATCTTTTTGGGGAAAACACCCTATCGATTCTAAATCTTTTGTTTCGTATTTAACTTTTTCTTTCACTTTGTTTATCCCATCTATTTTTAAATCCTCTGAAATATATTTTCTTAATAAAGCGTTGTACCTTTTCTACATGATTACTTGAATGTACATTTCCTGCAATGGTACTTCAAGAATAGCTTGCCAATTCTGTGCATTTTGTTTTCTTTTAAAGCCCATGTGCCTTTTCATTATGTAAAGGATTTCCTTACATACATGTACTGTATGTAGTGTATACAGTTGTACATGTATTAGCCCAGTTAAAATAGCAATTTATCTTAAACAAATTGGAAAGAAGTTAGTCCACTGCAGTGATATTAGGAATATATCCTCTAAACAATATTTGAGGAAAATCTATTTAGTGGAAAGCACTTCATTAATATGTAAATTAGCTATAGTCTTATTAGGTTATTAGAAATTTGATTCTATTCTTATGTAGAGTGATGTTTTAATATATGGTCAGAAAACACCGTTTTTTGATTAAACCAACAACATTTTCAGATTTATTCCATGACTGTTATAATTTGCATAAAATGTAATTAACATCAGCCATGAAAAGAGGTTCATATTTTTCATTAATTTGCAGATCTACTGTACATGTAAGCAACCGTGTTGAATAATTTCAAATGCCACATATTATGTTCTTAATGTTACTATGTAAAATGTATTCTTAATATCAATCTTAAATGTATTAATCATGTTCAGTAATATGAATTATGACTGTACATGTAATTGATTCAACAAGGATCTTTGATGGCAAATTATGATAATCTTTTAGATACAAGCTTATTTTCAAATTTTGCAAGCATTAAAGCCCCAGTCCCATATAAAGCGGACCAGCACGGACGAGCACGGACCACTCCGGACCATCCCGGACCATGGTCTGGGGTGATCCGGGATGGTCCGGGATGTTTTGTTCAAAAAAAGTGTGATGCTTTTAAGCTACAGTCCCATAACGTCCCGGACCATCCCGGACCCCATCCGGGGTGATCCGGGATTCGGTCCGTGTTGACACCGTGTTGGCACCGGGGTGGTCCTGGATGGTCCTGGATGGTCCTGGATGGTCCTGGGCGGTCAATAACTCACTCCCGGACTGCCACGGATCAACACGGACCGCCCCGGCGCCACTACGGATGACCCCGGACCCAGCACGGTGGCTACACGGATCACCCCGGATCAAACTATTGTCCCGGACCGTCCCGGACCACCCCGGCAGTTTTTGACCGTCAAAAACATCCGGGGTCGACTCCCGGACCGCCCAGGACCATCCAGGACCATCCAGGACCACCCCGGTGCCAACACGGTGTCAACACGGACCGAATCCCGGATCACCCCGGATGGGGTCCGGGATGGTCCGGGACGGTCCGGGACGTATATGGGACTGTAGCTTTACCATAATATTGATTTTGAAATGTGTCCACCTTGTTCACATGTGTACATGTACATGTGTTTTATATAGTTTTGGCCTACATGTACATGTAATGCTTTCTGTGTCATGGTTGATATTAAACTGACCTATTGATTATCTGTGTACATGTCATGAATAACTATACATTTTACATGTAACTAGAAATAACTGAGTAAGCAGGATGATTGATGGTAGAGGAAGTATTAGCCATAACCCAACTTTCATTGTCACAAATTTATTACAAGTTTGTTTGATTGCAGATTTTAGTTTCATTATCTATTTGAGCGAGGATGTCATACATGTACATGTACATGTGTACAGTACATGGAAATGAAAGTTGGGATACAAATTGGAGTGCATGGACATATATTGTACCTTTGTAGATTTACAATTAATCTGATTGCATATTTTACATACATTAAAAAATGTATTGTTTCTACATGTACATTCAATAATTGTAGACCTACATGTTTTTTAGACCATTGATTTGTAAAAAAAATATGATTGATACAAAATATTATCTTCATACATGTACAGTACCGGTATGTAGATGCACATTGCATGGAATTCACATTGATTATGGTACTACCATACATGTACATGTACATGTACCTGTACTATGATGTACAAAGTACTAAATTATGATTTACGTAAGCTACTGTGTACAGTTTTCCTTCAAGCTCTTTTTAAATAAAAGAACTTGAACCTGTAGGCCTCTTTTTAGAACTGTAGGCCTCTACTTAGTACTGTACATGTATATACATGTATGTGTACATGTACATGAAGGAGATGTGTACAGTGTATACATGTATACGAAAGTTGTTACATTAAAGGTAATACAAAGTTTTGGTATGGGGTCATGAATTTGGTTCAAATGAACATATTGGAAGCATATACATGTATGCGATCTATCATCCTACCTTATCCAGTGATCGTTGTCGCGCTTGAAATCGAGTCTAAAATTATGAAATTGTAAATAATAAACTCTTCATGTTGTATAGCTCCCTCTCAAGGTCGAGATATTAATTAAGCTATAAAACAATGTTTCTTTACTAAAATTGACCGATTACCTATTCCAGTTTGGAAATTCTATATCACAACTACATAATTTGAAATTTTTATGGTCGCAGCTAACATTGTAATGCTGTAGGCGCTATTTGAAATTTATCAAAATTTACCGGGAGCACCTGTAAATTTTTATATTCAATTTTTCTCGAAAGCAGAATTGTGTTTTAGGGGCTAAATTTTCTAGTGCTTATAATACATCCGCAGGGGCATCCAAATACAATGTACATGTATATCAAAATTGTAAAGAATCACTATCCACCCAATTTTCAAAATTTCCCAAAACTTTGTATTACCTTTAAAGTCGATTACTCTGTAAATGGACTGGTCAGTATTTTCATTTTTTAAATTAAATATTTAGCAGACATGTACATTTGTATTATGAATTTGATGCAGTGTTGATTTGATTGTTATTTGGTATGATCATGATGAGGTATTGTATTGATGAATTTGACAAGGAATACAAACATGTAGGCATACACAGTTAGGAGTACAGATGCTTATTTAAAAATTCTTTGGATTATGCACATAATTGTTAATAATATCATACCTGTACATGTGTAATGATCATAAAGGAAATTGGTATTTTTAAACTCAATATATACCTGTACAATCAACATTACTATTATTAACCACATCAGACATCTAGAGCAAACAAGAAACTCTTAAATTACATAAAATACAGTAGCCTACACTGCACAGGGTTTCCTAGCATAAAAAGTTGCAAAAGCATTGTCAAACCAGCGCTGCATCCAGTGCTTGACAAAAATGTTGATACACTGCAAACAGTGTGCCTTTGGTGTGATTATTACGTCACAATAGAGTGTGCGCAAAGTGTGCAGGTTCTCATACGCGTTATACAGTGTACTGTAGATGGGCAATGACAAAATATGGTCAATATGAGACTACGGGTAATATAGTCTTATATTGACTGATTCGCTCTTTTAGGATTACAACACGTGTATTATGATTTTGTAAAACCACTGCTCAGATGTCTGATACAGATGATAATTGGCAATATGTATTGGCAAAGAAGGTGCATCAATATATATATACACTGTAGTTTATTTATTTGTTTATTCAAATTTTTGATTTATTAAGCAGTATTAAGTATTTATAAACTGCTCCAGTGCTCTGACTTGTTCATTGCAAAGTACCTGAACTAAGGCTGCGACAGGTAGTCGAATGCTTGAGTACCCGCACGGTTGACAACTACTCGGGTACGATTTCTCGTACCCGAATATTCGGCCGCAATTAAAAAAAAAAAAAAAAAAAAAAATGTCCAGGGCTCCAGGCCCACGCTTACCCGTGCCAGGGAGAGCGGCGGACGCTGGCATGGTACCGTTGGTAAAAATGTTTCCCAACTCAAGCACTGTCAAACTCACCTTTCAGAAACTGGGACCAAATGTCCAGATTTCTGTTTGGACTTGGAGGAAAATGGATTATTCTGCCATCTTTGGTTTTTAAAACAGCATTGTTTACTGTTATTATTCTCATTAAATCGGCGCCTTCAACTGCAACTCAAAGTAAAATTGCATGTGTAATGTTGATAGGTTGCTTAATGCTAGAGCGCCGTATGGCAGCCGTGCTAAAGCCAGGGTAATAATCGGGAGGGCCAGGAGGGTCAAATCTGACTGGCATGAGCGCTATACAAGAACCCATTATTATTATTATTATTATTATTATTATTATTATTATTATTATTATTATTATTATTATTATTATTATTAATATTTTCACGATACTGTACATCACATTGCTCTGGAATACCAAACCCTTTAAAGTTTGACAATTGCATCTTACAGTGTATGCTTTCTTTTCTGCAGGTTATCGTAACATCAGCATTCCTTGTACTGGCATGACCGAGACAACCGCTGAAAGCAACGCTACCAACCTCAATGCAGCCTCAGCCAGTGAGATAGATGCTGCAGTCAATGCTGAAGCTCTAGCATTCAGCCTTGCAGCATCTCTCTCTTCCTCTTCCTCACCGTCCATCACAGGAACAGCTGGACCATCAAAGCCCAAACCACCACGCCCATCTAAACCCCCCACCAAAAGTGCCAAGGCAAGCTCATCGTCGTCTTCATTATTAATGTATCTGCAAGGTGGCCCTCAAGGGTCTACTACCCCACAACCCTTGGGACCTGCAGAGGTGGAGGAGTGCTCCATTTGTTTTGAAGCACCAGTGAACTCTGTCTTCTATAAGTGTGGACACACGTGTTGCTGCTTTGAATGCGCCAATAAGATGAGAGGATCATGCTGTCCAATATGCAGGGCAGTCATTGCAGATGTTATTAGGATGTACAAGCCATAGTGTGCCATCTCTTTTGGGTGGTTCAAAGTAGGGTCATACTATCAAGTATGTGGAGCTGTTGCTGCTGATTTTATTAAGCATATGCAAGCCATGGTGTGCACCACTGAGATGACAGGGTCATGCTGTTCGATGTGCAGGGCAGTTATTGCGGATGACATTAGGATGTACACCTATAGTGTGACATGTCCCCATCTCCATCACTTAGAATAGGCCTACAAGATCAGAGGGCATACTACCCAGTGTATGGTGGGGTCATTGCTGATTTCTAGGGATGTACAAGCCACAGTGTGCCATCTCTTTGATTGGTTTAAGAAGGGGGAGGTGTCATGTTGTCTAACATACGGAGTGGTCACTATTGATATTACTGGGATGTACATGTATGTATAATTTAAAGTGTGCAACAAAATGTTTATGGTTTTGATGTCCAATATGCAGGGCAGTTTTTGCTGATTAGGATGTACATGTACAGTATATGTACAAGCCGCAGTGTGCCATCTATTTGAAATAGAAGGTCATGCGATCTAATTGTAGCAGTCATCATTATTAGGATGCTCAAGCAATAGTGTGTGGTGATGAGATGAGGGGATCTCACTGTCTGACATGAAAGACAGTCATTGCTGATGTTACTCCGTGTGGGATGTACACACATGTATGAGAGAAAGTATGCAACCTATTTGAGTGGCTTTACAACTTGAGGAATCCTACTGTCCAATAGGTCAAGCAGTCTTTGCAGATGTCATCAGGATACATGTACAAGTCACAGTGTGCTATCTACATCTACATGTATGTATTACCTGTCACTTTTGTGAACCAGCTCACGTCTCTTTGTTGGAAAGCTACAGCTGCTTCACTCACATTTTGTGAGCAAGATTTCCTGAGGTTTAGCTTAAGTTGCTGCTCTGTACTTTTTTTTTTTACATGTACTTTGAAGACAGGTGGGTACTTGACATGTATACATGTATAAAGTGAAAGCTTCAGGAGTTCCCTGCTAATTGATGATCCCAGTGTAACACTTGTCATTGTTATTTTGGGTGTCAGGTTTACCAGCTACATGTAAGGGTTGTGTTGATTAATAAGAAAGCATTTATAGCTATGTACATGTCAACCCTTGAAAAAGGCGTCCAGGAACCAGGGGCAATTTATTTTCAAAAGTCGCCCCTGGTTCACAGGGATTTAACCAGAACCAGGGCAATTTTCCAAAACAGATAACAACCAATTACACAAGTTAAATAAGCTCAAACATAATACAACAATTTTAATCTCAAAATGCGGATGTGATCAATTCTAATAACTTCTTAATCTTAACAAGATCAACAGCAAAGATTGTCATTACGATTAAGAACATCAACTTGCACAGTATTTTAACGTAACTAAAAATACTGATGAGCAAATAAATAAATAAATCGTCAATTTCACAAATATCGGAAGTCAGATGGACTTGGTAAGTCTTTCTCAAATAGATCAAAATCGCACCTCGCACACAAACCTTCCGCCACACTCTCGGCAGAACATGATTAGTCTGTGATGGAAAGCTAGCGGGCTGGCAGTTTCCCAGCGAGGCTACCGCACCAGCGGCAGATCCACTACACGCAAAATTACCAGGACTCAACAGGTTTGCGGTGGGAAGCTGGCCTGCTAGTTTTTTTCCAAAACAATGCTAGATCGGCTGCTGGCAAAATGAAAGTTATTGCGATCGAGAACATCGTACCTGTTATTTACTTGTCAATGAAAGAATTCTGAATTCTATTTGGGACGATATAATAAATTATACCAACAAACAAACCTCGATAGATCCCTAATGAATATACAATTGCTTGTTTGTTACTTCATTTGACATTTTGTTTTCTCGATCCTTCGAGCCATTTGGTCATGCACGAGTCAATGAAATCTGTGTATGATTGCATAAATGTATGTGCCTACCAACGGGCACATTTTTACATCAAAAACTTGCGCCTCGCCATCTAGTTTTAGATACTTACAGGCCTAATTAGTGGCTCTACGTGCGCAAATTTGCGCCCTGCACCTGCTTATTTCAAGGGTTGGTACTGCTTATTTCAAGGGTTGGTACATGTACATGTACATACATTATGTACTGTAGCTAGCAGTTTGAGTTGCCTTGTGACAGAATCTTGGTCACGAAAGTGTCAGACTTATTACTGTTGTGTGTTTATGCACATGTGGAATGAAAGGAACTTCATTGATTGCTAAGATTTATCACAAGAATTAGCTCTCTATACATCCAAATTATCTAATCCCAACATCATGAAGTAGTACATGTACATTATATCTTCTTCTGAAATAATTTTATAGATATATTGTTTGTAATGAAAGTTTGAATTTGATGTTTGAATTTGATGGAAATGATACTCATTTGTACCGATACCTGTTACATGTAGTATTTTGTACAGCTTGCCCTTTTAAGAGTATGTGTTGTATTTTTGTTTTTAATCATCGGCAGTGGTTAAAATGAACCTTGATCGGGGCAAGTAGTGTGAATACAGGCAAGCAGTAAACTTGAGATATTGATAATAAATCTTAAGAGTAGAGTACATAGTGTACATGTGATCCAATATTTTTTATCTAAGTGAAATTCAAGATCCACCATTTATTTATTTTGCTGCAGTAAAAACACAATGGATTGTCTGCTACACTGTATTTTGCATACTTAATAAACTACCGGTACACAACTACCGGTACACAACTACCGGTAGGCAACTTTAATAATTGTACTTGTAGCTAAATGGCGAATTTGGATTTTCGTACCATGTACCATGTAAAATTGTAATACAATCTAAAATCTAGAATCTCAAAATTATTTTGAAAATGAGATACACTTGAATACATGATTTTTGTTTCAAAAGGAAAGAACAAAAATTAGAATTACGGATGAATTTATTTGATTACTGGTTTATGTTTAAAGACAGGTATACTTCTTTATTAGGTTATACCTCAATTTATTTTTCATATCATACTTTGCAGTCCACGCAGTAGTACTTTAGACATGCCAGATATATTCCTTAAAGTGTGCACAAGATCCACACTCTCTGTCAGGTGTACATTAATCATGCAGCACTTTTCTTCATTAACGTCAGCGTTGCTATGGGCAAGCTCTCCTCACATGAATTCAAAACTACCCTACATGTATGTACTCTCTAGCCTATTAAAGGCTATTATAATGCTTTATAATAATGTCATCAACCTTTTTTGGTCATACATGTTGCCTCTGCATATGAAGTTCACAAAGGATGCACTATCTTCTCCAATTTATTTAACAAGATATTATACACGCATATTTCAATTAAGCTTAAATGCATCGTTTGACAATGTTAAATCTGAGGTGCATGGCCCTACGTGTTATTAGTGTCTGTGATATGGTGTAATATTGAAGCCCTAAAATGATCATGAAAGGCCTCTAAAAAGTAAACATCTTTGAGTGACCGGTTTTACCATACTCATTTTCCCTGATAGACTGTAGTGTAATAAAAACCGTTAGGAAAACGAATACCGGGTACCGGTAATGAAATTTTGATATTCAATCATGAATATCTTAATAATCAGACAGGCGATCGGCTTGTTTTGCAATTCTCAGCAAGTTTTCTTTATTTTGTTGGCCTACCGGTAAAATATTACTATCCCATGCTATTCTCACATACATTGTAAAGGAATAGTAATCTTGAATTGAGTCTTGACAGAAAGTATTCATATTTGCTTTTAAAATTACCTTAAATGGCACGACCCTCTTGTGTTTGGCTATTTCCTTGCAATGGCCTCTTGACAAGGTGTTCAGCCCTGCTTCATGTATGTGACAGAACTTAAAAGACTGTGCTTATTAATAGATTGACCCTGTAGATCAATAGCTGCTATTAATAAACGAATTCAACATTGTTGTATGCTAGATTTGACCTGGCCCCTTGATATATATTGATAGCATTAATGTGCTTGTAGTCTGTAGGCATACTATTTACATGCCTGCGGTACACAAGAGAGCTTCTGAAAGTGAAAACATCTACATGTACATTGTACATGTAAGCGGGGCAAGACACTGATGGGAGTCTGTTAAAATCAGTTACGCACTCACAGGCCCCATCCCCCTTGTTCCAATCAAGAGGAGCTGAAAATACCTACTGTACATGTATGTACAAACCTGTAGTACAGATAGTGTGGAGGTGGAGTTAGCAAGACCTGAAATATATGATCTAATTTACTCTTTTAAACATGTCAGAACTTTAAGCTTCTGGTCTCAGATCATGAAGTAACCACCAATCAGCACATACATGTACATGCAGTATGTAGCTGTGATGTCATATGTTAGGCAAGCTTCTGGTTCATTGTAGCTTAATTTAATATATGTTTGGAAGCATGAATCAATTTTTATTTAAATATCTGCATGTATGACTGGTAAATTCTGATGGAGAAAAATAAATAATATCTAATGCATGTCACCAATTGTCTTTTCAGATTTTTATTTTCACTTTGCCAATTTGTTTTTCATGCAACATTTGATTTAAGCTACACATTGAATTGTTGAATAATTCTACAGTATTTGATTTATATATTGAATTAATTCTTATAACTACTGATTAGGCCAAATAACAAAAATTTGTGTTTTTTAATCTCCACCTGCCTTCTTTTTTTTACTATAACTACATGAATGCAGAAGAAGAAAAAAGCCTGTGATGAACATTTTGTTTAAATAGCTTCTAAAGTGATTTAAATCTTTTGTTTTGTCATACATTGTATTAGTATACTCACATAGCACAATATCTGTGAATAACTAGACTTGGCCAGCTATAAGTAGCATGGCAGCCATCTTTGAAAAAAAATGCAAAATAGTAAATAGTAATCTAATAATAATAATAATAGTTCGTTCTTTTATAGCGCATTTCAGGACCAAAGGCCCTCTCAAAGCGCTTTACAATGTACAATGTACGTGTACATAATAATGACTCGGAAAAGGTGATGCTCTGCCTCCTCCTTTTTAAAAAATTAAAGTCTGGACGAAAAACACATTATTTTTGTTATTTGGCCTTATAGATCTACATTTACATGCATGTAATTGAAATACCAGTAGAGAGTCTGAAATTGCTTTCTTTATAATGGTAAAGAGATATTAAAGTATGTATGAGTTAAAAAGAAAAGAAAACTCTGCTTACGTGTGCATTTATCTGTTTCTGAGCAATCTGCACGATTATACACTACACTACATGTACAAGTGTGCATGTACAATTGTAAAATTGTACAAGCATATAGCTGAGTCATTGCGATATTTTTGGCGTGATTTTCAAATTTTAAAACCCCCCGTTCGAAAAAATCTTGCGTACGCGCCTGGAGATTCATATTCTTTCAGTTACCAGTATGTCCAAATACATTAGATAGAATCGACTTAAAAATGATGGGGAAGTAGAATGTTGATAATAAATAGTTCTATCATAGGAGAGTTGTGTCAATGATTTAATCATTGGTCATTATTCAACATTTTGCTAATGTTCACATAGATACTTGTCCATTATGGACTATGAGGACCATTATATACATGTATGATCGCTAGAATCAGAATGCAGTATATCCTGAAGTATGGTGCATGTAACTAGAAACGGGACAATACGAAAAGGGAATGTACTGTATGCACACGTATGTCAAAGTAAGATGATGTACCTGTACATGTAACAGGCTTTTGAACTCAAAGTACAAGTACGCTGCAGCAATGCATTTTTGTTACTATGTTGAAGTGCATGTGATACAACATTATAATATTGGTGTACAGAAGTTTTGATGTAAATGCTAGATGAAATGTAATATATATTGAGTAATCATGTACACATACATGTACATTGTACATGTATGTATGATACTTGTACGGTAAGTAACCGCATTTTAAAGTGAGACCGTGCTTATTCAGCAAGAATGAAAGTATAGATATATTGACTGCTATGAGACGCATAGCTGTTTCTATAGGCTCAAGGGGTCATAGCAGGATGTAATGTCACCGAGAGCCAGTATATAAACAGCTATGCCTCGAATATTGAAGCATTCCATATATCTTTTATATACCGAATTCACATAATAGTGTACAGAGAATTCTTGCCTAATTATCCTTTTTCGGGGCAACGGACATAGTTCGTTTCTTTTTGGGGCATGGCTAAAATCACTACTTCAGTTTTGACCAATCAGATGACTATTTTGTTTTGTTTCACTGTAGAGCCTACTGTTTACCGACTATTCTTGTAGACTGGTCTTTTTCCAATCTTTGGATCATTTGTATCCATGGAAATGTTTATGTGCTATTGATTATGGAATGTTACTTAGACGATATGTAAGAGAGAGAGTTATTTGAATCATGGCTGATTTAGCCATCTTCATTTCATGGTGAAGTATAAATATTTGACAGGGAAAATTACAGTCAACCTGTCTATTTTGGCCACCCAATAGAAACAGAGTTAACCATAAAGACAAAAATGACTGCATTAATGTTTGACAACAGGAAATACATGTACCGTAGCTATTTGAATTACTTTTCTTTTTCACCCCTCAAATCTAAGATGTTGACCTCAATTAGGTAGCCAGATTATGAAGTAGGCCGTCTTCTATTCAGGGGAGTTTCATGATTACTGTATCACTTTAATAGATAAATTGATATTGTCTTCACATATGTGCCCATTGATAAAAGAATTAGCAAGCATTTTTAGCTTCAATTTAAAGATAAACTCCAGTTCTGGTAATGTGATTGCATTGTGAAAGAAAAGGTGTGGAATGGATCAGAAACAGTTGATCATGTAGCAAGTAAGTATTGGTGTGCACTGCAAGGTTCTGGAGTCATCAAAATCATAATAAATTTGGCCGAGTCTTGGTAAAGTAACAAGCACTGTACACAGAAAGCTATATATGGGACAACGCACATGGTGTCGGGGCTAGTACTACCTTGGTGTCCTTGTCTTTTTATGCTCATTACTCAGCCAGTATACATTTTCTTCCAAAATTGTTTGGCACATGTCATTTATTTGTAATCTTGAACATTCAGTGTAAGTTTCGTTTGATTCTGTGAGAATTAATTTTCTTTTTTTTACCAGAACTGGAGTTTATCTTTAACCTGTGACAATCTGAATGCAAACAAACACATTAGCTGTTCTTTATACACTATTAATGTACACATGTAAATGTAAGCTTTGTTCTGTTGACATTAATTTTTTCTCAATATCGTGAGAAACTCATGTTGATTTTGGGATCAAACATGTATTGGGATTTTAATTTTAAAGATACAATGTCCCTTTTGCAGCCAACATTAAATTCTGTAGAATGTTGCAGGAAGTATGTCCTATCTGTAAAATTTAAACATAAGCAGTGTCCTAGTTTAAAAATTATGTAAGGAAACCAGTTTTCCTTCTAGACTTCACTATCAGACACTATTGATTGACTGACTGACATCTTTTCTTCTTTGGTAATAACATACATAAAATAGCTTTAACAGGAACGTGAGCATTTGTCTACACCAATAAATTACTTGGGTGATTGCAATCACTTAAGTCGATTCCACAACTTATGGTCGTTGTTTTCCCACTAAAAGCCATTTTCAAGCCCTTTTGTTTTGTGGGAAGTTCTAAATTACATGTAGTATTGTCTTTCAAATGCTGTTGGAATTTAACCTTTTCATAGTTTAATCGTCAGTTTACATGTGTACAGTGTAAATGTAAACCTGGTTTATATATTATAGCCCTTATAACATTTTCGCATTAGGAGTTCACACAAGAAAAAGAAAAGTTTTACTAGAAAAGACGTTTCCTGCCGAATAGTTCACTTTTTATTGCTGACGTCATGAATAGTTCACCTTTTCCCGGCTCCCCGCCCCCCCCCCTAAACTGGCAAAATTTAGCGAGTGTACAGGATTTCAAATGCCTCCAGCGGGCAACTCCTGTGGTGTCACGGCGCTTATGCCGTGCAATCTATGCTGAGCCGCAGTAACTGCACTACACTACTGCAGTACCTG